ATAAGCCATTACAGAAAAAAATAATTATAAATTTATGGTCGAATAACGATTGTGAATCGTTTTAGTATGTTAAAATCTTTAGTAGATAGAAAGACGTCGGCTTTACACATTTTAATTGAAAAAATAGCCAATAAGAATAGGGTTCAAGAAAAAGAACTTGAACGGGCAGTAATTGGATTGGGCCAATTTTTTGTTGTTGACAGTTATAAGAAATTTATTTTGGGAAAAAATTGGGATAAAATAAGTGTCGAAGAACGTCGTCATCGTCTCATCGCAATGATGAAAGGACGGATTATAAATGATGATGATATTATATCGACCTGCGGTCAATTAAAATTAACCAAACCTAAAGGGTCTAAAAAACCGACACAGTATAAAAAAATTAAAGTAAAGCATATGGATGCTAATTTTTAAATAGTTTGTATATATTTCCTTTATTTTATTATTTTTATATGACATCCACATTCCGTGTTGACAATTATTTGGGATGATTGACGGATCATTGGAGTCGGACAATAGGCTGGAGGAGGCCAGACTAGAAGCTTTCAGGCTATATTGGCAAATGCTTAATATAGCGAGACCTACTCGAGACAGACGGTCTCGTAGGTCGCGTAGCCCAAGAAGGGGCTATGGTACCTACAGGTACGGAGAAAGAGAGTCTTTCTCGGGAGGCGCAAGGGAAGCCTCGGGCTATTTGAGATGTGAGGGAAATCACTATATAAGATACTGTCCAGAGCTGCGCCGAACCTATCGTGATGTTTTGGAGACAAACCTCACCCCAGTGTGCCCAACTAATCGTGACTTTTTGGAGACAAACGACATGGCGCACTTCTGCCCCCTCCCTAACGGCGCCCATTCCAGCCGTGCCGATTCCCGCCTTGCCGATTCACGTATGGGCGCTCATTCCAGCCGGGCCGATTCCCGTATCGGCAACACCACCGAGTCCAAGTTAACAGGTTGACTTGGCGTCGGAGGTTAATATGCTTGATTTAAACGTCACGTCTAATGACCATCATATAGAAGATGAGTTATTAGACTAGGACAAATAAATTTTTTGTTTAATATTTTTTTTTTTAAATTAATGTAAATTTTTTAATATATTATATTTTGGTTATATTTCAGGTTTAAAATTTTAAACCTGTTATATATCCATGGTCTTGGTATTTTTTTTAAACTAAGACCTAAAAGCTCTTTCAACTGGTTGCCTCCACGTGGCTAAGAGCGGAAACATAAATTTATGGCTAAAACCATAATATTATAACTATAAAATATATTAAATATAAGATCAAAAGCAATAGCGGGACAAATCATTAATATAGTATAAATAATGTAATCTTGTTTAGCTAATATTAGAGAAAGTTTGTACAGTTAGAACAATGCATCCAATTATTTTTTTGTAATAACAATATAAATAGTTATTTTTAAGTTTAAATATTACCAATTATTAAAGTCCTATAATTTGAAATTTTTGACTATAATTATTGAAGGTAAAAAGGCATATAAAAATAAATATATTATATAATTATATAAACTATAAATAGATATCGAAGATGAAAACAACATCATATTATAGTTTGGTCAATGATTGAAATTGGAAAACTAAATCGTGATACGTCGGAAACAACATTCTATAAAGACTACCGTGATTGAAACACCCACATTATTTTACAACAAACGAATATTTACATTTTTTTTACCTATTACGATTGTATATAATAATATGTAATATAAATGGTATTTTATTAAAAAATATGTTTTAGTAATCTTATTATATTTAATAAATTGTATATTTCTTGAAATAATAAATGGTATATTTATCTGATTAATAAAATTATTTGTTTTATAAATTTGGTGAATATAGTAGGAGAGACTGCGGTTAGTCTAACCTATTTTTAAAAAATTGGCTATAGTTTCTGGTTTTTTTTTACATAATATAAAAAATAAAATATGATTAGATACCAAAAACAATACTTTATAAAGGGGCCTTATAAAAAAATTTAAGAATATATTTATTTTTTTTAAATTTTATTTTTTGTAAAAGTCAACTAACATCCCCAATAGTGGGGTGAGGCAAACCACTTCAAGGGGCTTCCTAAACCATTGGTTTTTTAAGGCCATAATAAATTGAAATGTATTTTTATTTATTAATAATGATACAAATAGAATAATTTTGTTGTATTGTAGTATATATCATATACTTATAAATTGAGGCTAATCATATATAAAAATTGAAACTTAATTTTGGTTAATTTAATAAACATTTTGGACATAAAAAATAAAGATCTTAAGGAGAGATTATGATAGCATAAATCCTTTATACCAATTATAAAACAGACATGAATTGCCTTTACAAGATTTTGAAATTTTTTTCATTATTAACTGCTTTAATTGACTTGTATGGTTTAGCAAGCGCCGCTAGCTCTAAATTGACAAATTATGATTGAAATAATATCTAGATATAATAAATACACATTAAACTTTTCCAAATTATAGAAGAGTGTTTAAAATTAGCTATAAAATTTAATTTACATATAAATGATTATATATTATAATAAAAATTAAAATTCTATCATGTAAAAATCTTTTGAAAACTTCATCAAAATTTTATTTCTTAAATAAAATTTTTAATAATTTAATATTTCAAAAGATTTTTTGTCTATAGATGTAAACTAATAAAAACTATATTAGGATAAAATATTAACCTTCTGGTATATTTAATTTTGAAATGAGATTAAGTAGTTTGCCAAGCCCCGGGGTCCTAACCCCAGATATACAAAACATATAAAATGATAAATTTTTCGTATCTTGGTAATGTTAATTTTTTTTCTATCAACTTACCTATCTTCTTAACGTTAATTTCACTTTCCTATCTCCTAATGTTAAAATTTTTTTTTTCTATCAACTTTCCTATCATCTTAATTTAAATAAATCGAGAGCTATTATTATCTCAATGTTAAAATTTTTTTTTTAAATTTATGGCAACACTCGCAACCTATCGTTCGGAAGGCAAACGTTCTAACCATTGAGCCCCCCCCCCTTCAATATTATATTTTTATATATTTGTATATATATATTAAAAAAATTTTTTTTATAAAATTAATTTAATTTAATCAGAATGACGGGGTTGATGGGTAATTAATAATTAGTTAGGTGTATACGATACTAAATATGCTTTATTAATATATTTCATAAAAATATTAATATTTAGGAGAAAAAGAGGTAAAAATGTTGCAATGTAAAGGTATTAGAAATATCATAATTTACATTTGTGATAGAAATCAACTTGGGTAAAATTTAAAATAGCTATCCTTGAAATTTTTTTAATTTTAAATATGGGCTAGACATTGGCTTTTTTAAATATTTTATTTGAATTCTCAACTACCAAAATTATCATGATCTTTGGTAGGGCTGGGGAAATTTTTTTCAAAATTATTTATATTAATACCATTTTCTGAATCTCCTTGAAAAGCTTAACATGAATCTGCTTTTATTTTTAAAAAAAAACTGTATTTTGACCGGGGACGCCTAGTGTTTTTTCAAAAGATCACTAAGTTATAAAATATTTTTAAATACAATATTTACATATTCTGAATACTTTTAATGAGCTTAATATGAATCTGTTTTTACTTTTTTAAAAAAACTGTATTTTGACCGGGGACGCGTAGTTTAGTCAAAAAATGAAGAAAGAAAGTTATTTTTCAAAAGCCCACTAAGTTATAAAATATTTTTAAATACAATATTTACATATTCTTAATACTTTTAATGAGCCTAATATGAATCTGCTTTTATTTTTTAAAAAAACTGTATTTTGACCGAGGACGCGTAGTTTAGCCAAAATAATTTTTTTTTCGAAAAATAATTTTTTTAAAATTTTTTTTTATTAATACCATTTTCTGAATCTACTTGAAAAGCTAAACATGAATCTGCTTTTATTTTTTTAAAAAAAACGGTTTTTTGACCGGGGACGCGTAGTGTTTTTGAAAAAAAAAGGTGTTTTTTCAAAAAATCACTTAGTTATAAAATACTTTAAAATATAATATTTACATATTTTGTATTCTTTTAATGAGCTAAATATGAATCTGTTTTGATTTTTTAAAAAAAACGGTTTTTTGACCGGGTACGCGTAGTGTTTTTGAAAAAAAAAGTGTTTTTTCAAAAAATCACTAAGTTATAAAATACTTTAATATATAATATTTACATATTCTGAATTATTTTAATGAGCTAAATATGAATCTGCTTTTATTTTTTAAAAAAAATGTATTTTGACTGGGGACGCGTAGGGACGCGTATTTTAGTCAAAAAATGAAGAAAAAAAGTTATTTTTCAAAAGCCCACTAAGTTATAAAATATTTTTAAATACAATATTTACATATTCTGAATACTTTTAATGAGCTTAATATGAATCTGCTTTTGTTTTTTAAAAAAATGTATTTTGACCGGGGACGCGTAGTATAAGTCAAAAAAAAAAATTTTTCGAAAATTTTTTTTTTATTAATACCATTTTCTGAATCTCCTTGAAAAGCTAAACATGAATCTGCTTTTATTTTTTAAAAAAAACGGTTTTTGACCGGGGACGCGTAGTGTTTTCGAAAAAAAAGTGTTTTTTCCAAAAATCACTAAGTTATAAAATACTTTAATATATAATATTTACATATTCTGTATTTTTTAATGAGTTAAATATGAATCTGTTTTTATTTTTAAAAAAAACTGTATTTTGACCGGGGACGCGTAGTTTATTTTTTAAAAAAATAAATTTTATATAATTACCGTATTTTTTTAAATTAAAAAAACATTTTCTAACTCATCTTATAAAGCTTAATAAGATTTCCTATTAGTAATAATAAAAATAAGTCGTTTTGACCGGGGACGTGTAGGGACGCGTAGTTTTCGGGGACGCGTATTTTAGTCATTCCCAAAAATAGCATGATATAGAAATCTATATTAAATTCTTTAAATAGTTTGCAATTTAGTAAATAATTTTTATTCGAATTAATTTTTACCTAAATCTCCTAAATATATTAAAGTCTGATGTGCTATAGCTTGAATTTTTAAAATTTCTGCAGATATTTCAGGCATATGATGAACATCCTCTACATAATTTAATATAAAAATATATTTAATATCATATCATATATATATCAAGACTCTCTATATACAAATATAAGAAAAATTTGGGTGTATATACTATAAAACTTTTATATCTTATACATTCATTAAATAAACCTTCATTTTCAGTGAAGAATATATCAAAAGTATCATCTAGGAAAAAATCAACTTTGCCATTAAGGTTTAATTTATTTGGTTCCAATTGTAAAGATGCCAACATATTTTGATAGTAAGCCATTGCAGAACATATATAACTTTTGTAAAAGTAAAATACAGGTGAAGTTGAGAATTTTAAATTTGAGAGTTGTTCATCAACATCTTGAGACATATGCTTAAAAAAATTAGCTTTATAAACTATAATAAATTTTATATTGTTATTGTAGTAATAAGTTGTTTTACAAATTAAATTTTAATACTACCTAATAAATAAATATGATTATTTGGCATTTATTATTAAAAAATATGTATATTTCGGTTGCGTTAAAAATAAATATTTAAATAATTTTACCTTTTTTATATCTCTTTTCATAAATTGTATAGGTTCATAAAAAACTTTCCTCCATATAACAACCTCTACATTTTTATATTCATCATACAAAGAGCTGTATAATAATCCTAATCCTACATCTTTTAATCTAAGTAATAGCTTATAGTTACATATTAAATAAATATAAGTTTACTTCTCTCTATATTCAATAGCTTGACAATTAAAGATGCAGTCATATTTATTTGAAGATTTTTGTAAACTATCTAATTTTGCACTAATGAATTGAATTTTTCTGAAAGAATCAACCATAATTCATAATAAAATGGCTAAAATATACTTATTCGAATAATCAAAAATCATAAATGGTTTTAAATAAAGGTGAGAATTGAGAAACTACTAGAATTAAAAGTGAGTGATAGGTTTCATCAAATCTTATTTTATCTAGCACGTGGTCACAGATCTGTCCAAAATAAGCTTACGTGAACGATATGGAGGCTCAAGTTACATATAATTATGCGATTTTTTCTCAAAGATAGCAAAAAACCTTGTAATTCAGATGCATAGATATCAATAGATAAAACTACGTCCTATCCAATTGTAATATTAGAGTATGGTTCAGAAGGCCATCAAAAAAATTTATTTTTAGTTCAAGTGGATATTAAGGAGCCATTAAAAATATATTTGCTTCGTAGGGCTATTCTAATTCTTTAGGGGGCTCGAGCGCCTGCCCGCCTCTAATACAACAAATATGGAGTTTGTGGTCTGAATTCAACATTACTTAATAGAGTTTTAATATTTTTTATCCAACCAATTGTCGTCCTAGAACAAATGAAATAGTCAATTTGAGAACATGTGTTGTATTTCATGATTAGCTCAATAACATATATAATACCTAGACTGACGATTCATTCATTAAAAGTGTACATCAATGCAAATCAGCTGGAGACGCCATCTTGGTTACACTAATCATTATTAAAATTTAATACGAGAGCCTAATTTATTCCTATATCTGATGCAAATTTTATTAAAGAATTACCGGATCATTGAGATAATAAGGAAGCAAGTTATCATTTTAATAGTAGTTTTTTACATGAGAATAATTACTATATGTGATACCAAAATGGCGGGTCTAGCTGATTTGCTTTTAACGACGCTTAAAAATGCATTTTAATGAATGAATCGTCAGTCTATTATATATGTCATTGGATTGGCTATAGCAAGTCAATATTTATCCAGGATGGGGGTGTTCGAAGAAAGTATTTGTACGAAGTTAGGATTTCGGCATATTTCCAGAAGTTGTTTACCCCCTGCATTAGAATTTACGTCGAGTGCTTCAGAACCTAGGGAGTTATGGTTCTTTATTCCAAATCGCCCCACTTTGCCATTAAAATCTCCAGCTATAAGTAGATTTTTGCGTTTATGAAACTTGTTCAAATACTCTGCTAAAATTGGGAAGAATGTTTGTCTTTCAAGATAGTTTGCTGGTTTATATACATTTACGACATTCAGTATTCTACACCTCGTTTTTAATTTAATGCTACATAATCTGCCATAGAGGGTTTCGAACTTTGAAATATAACGTGCTAAAATATTCTTAATGATTATACACACACCACATCAGTTTTTTTCTATCTCTCCCGAATTAAATAAATGGTAACCCTTACAATATAGTCTATTTAAATCGGTGCAATGAGTTTCTTGAATACAAGCGGAATCCATCTCCAAGGTGTCTAAAAGAATTCTTAGTTATGCGGATTTATTATCGTTCAAAGATCCTGCATTTAGTGATATCACTCTTAGATTATCACTAAAGTTATCCATTTTATTTATTGTTACGTATTTAATTATCAATTATAATAGAAAAATTTTCTGAGAGATATTTGACTAAAATTTAAAAATTTATGAGAGATATATAACTAAAATTTAAATTAATTTATTTATTACTAATAAATCATTCTATTCGCAAATAGTAGAAATACAGGCCATAAAAATTAAAATGATTAATATAAAAATAAAATATTTGATAGAAAGAGAGATTTTCGGGCTGCCATGCCAGTAAAATAATTTTCAGGTTGGGCTAAATAAATTGTGCATAATATTTTTACAAAAGGTAGAAGTTTTAGAAATAAAATATGTGTCATGCCGGACAACTTGTAAACATTTATCATGGTTCTGGCAAAATAATTGGGAACCATGACAGCCAGAATAGATCGTTAGAAAATTTAGCGGGGCGATTTAGGCTGGCTAGGTGCATTTTAATAATCCTCTGGAAAGTTATTTGTTTACATTTATTTGTTTAACAATAAAATATGCAATATTTTAACTAAGTAAATTAATTGCTGTTTGGCTTAACCACTACATAAGTTTTTTTGACACTGGAGGACCACTAGGCGTCTAAAATGTATCGAAGAACTACAGCCAGTTGAGTTTTTTACGTTATATCGATGACATATGAAATTGAAATAATTAAATCGTTTTGTGTTATAATACAGTAGTTTTGTTTGACAAGGAAAGGTGTATATTAATTTCTAAATAATTTTTCATCAATAAATTTTTTCCTCTGCAGGCAAATTAATTATGTCAATATAAATACCTCTATTTACAAGATTTGATTTAGAAGATTTCATCACCACGGAAACATAGCTTCTGAATCTCAAGAAAAAACAAAGAGCTAATAACGATTTTTAATATTTCTTTATTTAACTGCCTTTTGCTTAAGTTATTCAATTGATCATTTAACTACTTTGGAAAAATGGTTCATATTTTAAATAGTGTTATAAAATAAGGCTTTAATTATCAAAAACCATGTAATAACGTTAATTCTGAAAAGGTAACGTGTTACTTTTTACTTTACGCATTATTATATATTTTCAATATCTTTATTTCGTTAACAAATATTCCAAAAAAAATTTTTTTTTTTTGGGGGGGGGGGGAGATAATAGAAATAATGATCATCAATATAAAGAATAAAAATTCACATCCAGTGAGCCACTCATCTTATATTTTTCATATTTATCGGTAAAAAAATAAATAGAAGTGCAACGTTTTGATTTCTTTTTTCAAAATTTTGTAAATTTTCTTTTCATTAATAAATTTCTTCATATTAAAATTTCTTGCGCTAAGGGATATTTTTAAATCAATTTATAATAAAAAAATATTAAAAAAGCTGTGAAATCTTAATAAATACAGCTTTTTATTTATTAGTATTTAAAATACAATCTACTTTCTAAAATATTCAAATAAATGTATTTGTATTTACTATTTTAATTACAAGTATTTGCGTTACTGCGCCCAACCCTGTTTATATCTAGTGCTCCTGTATAACTTTTGTTTAGTCTAGAAAAGATTTTGGGATACTACGCCTTTTAGACACTATTTTAGTTTATTGTCGAAACAAAATAAAAATTAAATTTTTATTAAATTCCTTTAATTGAAATTTGTAAATAGCAAAATTATTTTATATAATATTACATTATGTCAGTTTACTTTACAAAAGTAACTTAACAATATAAATTTTCAATATCTATTTTTACATCTAAAAAATGTACCGGTAAAAAATTTGAAAAAACGGCAATCAAGTTAGGACAGTTGTATCTTAATGCTTTAGGAATAAAAGTCGTTTAGAAGTAGCCTTAAATAAATAAAAAAATCAGGTCAATACGACAAATATGTAATTTTTTATTATACCTTTTAAATAAAATGAACTATTGTGATTTATAATAATTTGAATATACATTTTTAGATAATTTGGATTTAAAATAATTTTGCTGTTAATATTTATGTCTATGTTAGCGACGATGCGTTTTTTCTGGCAATATGATATTTTTTCAACTTTAAATAATTTCCGGAAATTGTTTGGAATCTCTATCCTTAAATTTTCAGACAATTTTGCCAAGAACCTTTGAGATTAAAAAATTTAAATTAGTTTTTCAGATATTTTTATATAAATTATATATGTCTCAAGTTAATGTCAAGATTGTCAATAATTCATAAGATGGTATTCTAAACATCCTGTAATACATTTCCGGTAAATCAGATTTTTAAATTTAAAAAAAACGGGTCTAAAAAAATGATTTAAAGTTGAAAAAATAAAACATTGCCGGAAAAACACATTAACGCTAACATCTTGTATGATTATTCAAATTATAATATTTCATTTATTAACATTTTTATTTTGTAATTATTATTTTTTATAATGATTAAATTTTATCTATATTTAATCTTGTCATTAATATTTTCGTTTTTATTTGGTCTCTTTTTGGTGGGTCATGTTATCAAAACAATTAGGGACTAAAATATGAATATGCTGATTTTTTTTTAATGAAGTGAGACTCATTGCGAATGTATTTATAAAATTTTAAGTTTAAAAAATAAGCGTTGGGGGAAAAAAATGCCTATATTATTAATAAATAAAAGAAATTTTTTTTTTGATTTTTTTTAAAAAAAAATTCTTTAAAAAAAAACACAATAAATGTTTATATAAACTGTAGCTCGAATTAGCGAAAAAATAATATCTACCATTTTAAATCCTATTTTATTTTTAAAATGAGTATTGTCGAAAGCGAAAATAAATTTTTTTTGAAGATGAGCAAGATATATTAATTGAAAAAATGAGTTTCTATATTGAGGTCTTATGTTTATAAGATATTTCTACAGGGATTCTGTGACAACATCAACATCCTCTAAATGTAATCTGACAATTTTGAAGGGAATTTTTTTTAAAATATCATCAAAAATCAATAATATAATAAAAGCTAGAGGTAATATCTGCTCAACTAAATAAAACCAAAATCATATATAGAACGATTTCCTCCTCTAGCAAACAAAAATATTATTTAAGTTAAAAAAATAGATGGTGTGGTGCTAAAAAAATCGACTTGCAAAATGTATTCGTCAGTATGTATTTGTGCCAAAAGTTTCTTCAAAGTATTTTGTATTTATATTCATTTTTGAAAGATTTTGTAGGCATTTAATTATATGAAGTGCATTTGTATTCGAATACATTTCTTTTGACGATTTGCCCAATACTGGATACAAGTGAGGCATTCTATTAAAAAAACAAAAATTTTAATTTAAGAAATCGAAATTATTATATTTTTTATAATTGTTGTGTTTATAGTTTAGATGTTTTTTATATTTTATTTTAATATTATAAAAAAATACATAGCTAACAAAGTAGTTGCCGGTATTTTTTGAGAAATATAGCTAATTATTTTATGAATTACTACTTTTTTACTCTATTTTTTACAAAATAAACTTATATATATTCTATTCAGTCGATATTTTAAATAATTTACTATTAAAAACCTTTATAAATATTTAATTATGGACATTAGATTAAAAATAAATAGGAAATTTTAAATTTGCTTCCCAAATGTATATTTTTTTAAC